ATAGTCAGGTGTACAGGTCCATACTGTTCAAATACATTCCGCAGATCAGTCTCGTCCGCCTCAAATGGCACATTTCGGACTTTCACCCATGTGTAATGCCTAGACACGTCGATGAGTCGAACACGTATCGCTGAATTAACGTCCACGCTCCTGTCCTGGTACTTGTCAACCAGCCGTTCATACACTCCAGCTGATCTCAACTTGACGAAAATGCGATAGGCACCATTTAGCGCCACACCATACAGTTCTTGATCCGCAACACCATAGGTGTGTTGAATGGTTTGAAAAACCGACATGTTGAAGATTGAGACACTTATGCAGCATATGGGAATCTTTATTCAGGAAACGTTTCACCACACAGTGGCTTCATCAGTCCAATACAAAGAGGAAGGCGTAAGGAGAGGAGGAGTATGAGGTAATCAGTCCCTCAGCCTGAAGTCGATGTGTTCAGTCCATCAATCTTGTAGAATATTCTACAATATTCTACAAGATTGATGGACTGAACACATCGACTCCAGGCTGAGGGACTGATCATCGATCATCGATTATAAGGCGAAAATCTCATCCAGCTCCTCAGAGCTGGGGCGTGTGCCCAAAATACAGCAGGCATTACCCCTTTGAACAGCCGCACTGAGCCGCTGGAACAGAAAACTAGCTGCCCTGGGATCCCTAGTTACCCTGATGAGTCTTTTTCCCAGCTCCTTAAGGAATTTAGATGCACTCTTTCCCCATGAGCCAAGGGTCTCTGAGCCTATGGGAACAAACATATAATGATGGGCAAGTTCTCCATATTTTCTAGACTTTTGGGACTCCCTGAAGCTGGCAGCTGCCCCTCCTTCCTCCCTGGTGTATTGGAGATAGGTATCAGCCACGGTAAATGCACATGTATAGTCCCACACCACCTGCTTCCCATCTGTCCAGGCTTGAAGGGTGATACCATCTGGACGCTTCTGGCTGCCATCAGATCTGCATAGTTGGGGTGGCTCCCTTACTGCTGGGCATCCAGCTGTTGTGAGGCTCCTCTTGATAATGTTATTAACCTCCTCATGTCTTGCAATCTTTTCCTTGGATTTACGGCACACAAGACCATGGTACCCGAATCGGTCTGCTGCTTCACTGCCACAAATACACCTGTGTTCGGCGAGAATAGGGGCGGCAAGTCGAAGGGCAACACCGATGCGGATGGTCTGTGGGTCGAGGCATGTGCTTGCCTGTGTAGTGTGACCTAAGTGTAAGTAGAAGTAGCATGATGTACCTGTTATCCAGTGTGTTTATGAAACAGAAAAAAGACACCCGTAATCCTATCATCATGTAAACAGTTGCAGGTTTCTGTTTCACAGTCACCTGGCAGGACAGTAGTACTTCCCTGGGTGGTTACTGTCTACCAACCTATATATTACTGTAACCACGAACGAGTGGTATTTAATCAATAACAACACTGCGACTAGCCAAGGACTCGAGCCCACGTCGTTTTGGCCCGCCTCATGGTGAACGAAAATCACATGATGCTGTAACCCACAGGACCACCAAATCCTACAAGAATCAAGCACCCAGCAGAACTAGGTGTTTTACCTTGATCCAAGGACATACGGTGGTGTGGGTGCCTCTGAGCTAATTTCATTCTACTCCCGGTTTGGTGTACTAGCCTCCACAAACAGTTTATATATTATTGTGACCACGAACGAGTGGTATTTAATCAATAACAATGGACTCGAACCCATGTCATTTTGGTCTGCTTGATGGTGAGCAAAAACTCGGATCAAGGTCAAACACCTAGATCTGCTGGGTGCTTGATTCTTGTAGGATTTAGTGATCATGTGGGTTAGAGCATCATGTGATTTTCGCTCACCATGAGGCGGGCCAAAATGACATGGGTTCGAGTCCTTGGCTATTCGAAGTTTTGTTATTGAATATATATATATATATATATATTAATATATATATATATATATATATATATATATATATATATATATATATATATATATATATATATATATATATATATATAGAAGTGATGCAAGGAGGGAAGAGTATATGGAGAAAAAGAGAGAGGTTAAGAGAGTGGTGAAGCAATGTAAAAAGAGAGCAAATGAGAGAGTGGGTGAGATGTTATCAACAAATTTTGTTGAAAATAAGAAAAAGTTTTGGAGTGAGATTAAAATTGAGGAACCCTAGGAACAAATGGATTTGTCAAAAAAAAATGGGAGGGGAGTTATTAATTGGGGGGTTAGAGGTTTTGGGGAAAGATGGAGGGAATATTTTGAGGAATTGTTAAATGTTGAATGAAGATAGGGAAGCTGTGATTTCGTGTATAGGGCAAGGAGGAATAACATCTTGTAGGAGTGAGGAAGAGCCAGTTGTGAGTGTGGGGGAAGTTCGTGAGGCAGTAGGTAAAATGAAAGTGGGTAAGGCAGCCGGGATTGATGGGAAAAAAGATAAAAATTTGTTAAAAGCAGGTGGGGATATAGTTTTGGAGTGGTTGGTGCAAATATTTTAATAAATTTTATGGAAGGGGGTAAGGTACCTAGGGATTAGGCAGAGAAACATGCATAGTTCCTTTGTATAAAGGCAAAGGGGACAAAAGAGAGTGCAAAAATTATTAGGGGGATAAGTTTGTTGAGTATACCTGGAAATTTGTATGGTAGATTTTATTATTGAAAGAATTAAAGTAAGACGGAGAATAGGATAGCAGATGAACAAGGAGGCTTTAGGAAAGGGTAGGGGTGGTGTGGACCAGGTGTTTACAGTGAAACGCGTAAGTGAACAGTATTTAGATAAAGGCTAAAAGAGGTTTTTGTGGCATTTATGGATTTGGAAAAGGCGTATGATAGGGTGGATAGGGGGCAATGTGGCAGATGTTGCAGGTGTATGGTGTAGGAGGTAGGTTACTGAAAGCAGTGAAGAGTTTTTAAACAAAGGATATGAGGCTCAGTTAGAGTATGTAGGAAAGAGGGAAATTTTTTCCCCGGGTTTAAAAGTAGGCCTTAGACAAGGATGTGTGATGTCACCGTGGTTGTTATATATTTATAGATGGGGTTGTACAGAAGTAAATGAGAGAGGTCTTGGCAAGAGGCGTGGAGTTAAAAGATAAAGAATCACATATAAAGTGGGATTTTGTCACAGTTGCTCTTTGCTGATGACACTGTGCTCTTGGGAGATTCTGAAGAGAAGTTGCAGAGATTGGTGGATGAATTTGGTGGGGTGTGCAAAAGAAGAAAATTGAAAGTGAATACAGGAAAGAGTAAGGTTATGGGGATAACGAAAAGATTAGGTGATGAAAGATTGGATATCAGGGTTGGAGGGAGAGAGTATGGAGGAGGTGAATGTATTCAGATATTTGGGAGTGGACATGTCAGCGGATGGGTCTATGAAAGATGAGGTGAATCATAGAATTGATGAGGGGAAAAGGGTGAGTGGTGCACTTAGGAGTCTGTGGAGACAAAGAACTTTGTCCTTGGAGGCAAAGAGGGGAATGTATGAGAGTATAGTTTTACCAACGCTCTTATATGGGTGTGAAGCATGGGTGATGAATGTTGCAGCGAGGAGAAGGCTGGAGGCAGTGGAGATGTCATGTCTGAGGGCAATGTGTGGCGTGAATATAATGGAGAAAATTCGTAGTTTGGAAGTTAGGAGGAGGTGCGGGATTGCCAAAATTGTTGTCCAGAGGGCTGAGGAAGGGTTGTTGAGGTGGTTCGGATATGTAGAGAGAATGGGGCGAAACAGAATGACTTCAAGAGTGTATCAGTCTGTAGTGGAAGGAAGGCGGGGTAGGGGTCGGCCTAGGAAAGGTTGGAGGGAGGGGGTAAAGGAGGTTTTGTGTGCGAGGGGCTTGGACTTCCAGCAGGCATGCGTGAGCATATTTAATAGGAGTGAATGGAGACAAATGGTTTTTAATACTTGACGTGCTGGTGGAGTGTGAGCAAAGTAACATTTATGAAGGGGTTCAGGGAAACCGGCAGGCCGGACTTGAGTCCTGGAGATGGGAAGTACAGTGCCTGCACTCTGAAGGAGGGGTGTTAATGTTGCAGTTTAAAAACTGTAATATAAAACACCCTTCTGGCAAGACAGTGATGGAGTGAATGATGGTGAAAGTTTTTCTTTTTCAGGCCACCCTGCCTTGGTGGGAATCGGCCAGTGTGATAATAAATATATATATAATATATATATATATATATATATATATATATATATATATTATATATATATATATATATATAGATAGATAGATAGATATATATATGCAATAAGATCACAGTAAACAGGTGATTTCAGAATATAGTTCGATAGTTCCTTGATAATGTGAGTAGTCACGAAAGCGCTTGGAATTTCTCTATTCTTTCAGAGTGGTTGTTTTGCATATATATATATATATATATATATATATATATATATAAATATATATATATATATATATATATATATTCTTTTAGTTTTATGTCATGTAAAAACATAGAAGTCATTAATCCTGCACAAAGTTCGGCTGAAGTTCATGAAGAACTTGAGCTTCAGTGTTAACTGAAATACAATTAAATTCTGTAAAAAAGATCGCTAAACAATAAAAGCAATTCAAAATTTAATTATAATATTCTGAAAATATTAAATTATCCATTGATTGATGTAATGTTGGAGGGAAAAAGTATAAGAGAAAAAATGATCATATTGGAAAAATTACAGATGGTTTTATAAAAAGAAGTGAAAAGTTCTGATTGCACTGGTAGGTTAGTTAATTGGGTTTCAATCCTCTCTACTGAAGTGCATTTAGATGTGATGGGGATATTTATGAATTAAATTCTGCAAATTTAACACTTCGTTTATATTTATCTTGGAGTAACATTAGAATTAGAAAAATGTCTGATAAATTCTACATTACTGACGCAACAGTAGAACAACGTAGGTATATATTCATTACGTGCCATATAAAATGAAACAATATTATACAGTATTGAAAACAAAAATGTCTTCAAAGAATCATGTGAGAGAAACCGATGGAAACTTACATCTGGTGGCACCTTCTATTGTGTTGAGTCTTCTTAAGACATCAGCCAGAGTGGAGCGCAGACACATGAGTTCATCTGTCTGCTCGTGCACCTTCTTCTCCAAGTCTGCTACTCTGTCCCGCAGACTGTGGTTCTCATTTTCTATCATCTCATCTGTAATGAGAGAAAACGAAGCCCTTCAAATATACGACTAACCAAAGCATTAAGTAATTGTACATAAAATGCGTTAACTATAGACATTAGCATGATATATATTTCCCAACCTGACTTTACTTGCATAATAGAGGTAAATTCTAGATTAGTTTAGGTTGGGTCATGTTCATTTTAACGTTACCAAAAATCTTACTCTCCATAGGTTTAAAGTATATATCTCTCCACTAAATAACCCACTGCAGAATTTACATAACAAAAAACTACAGCGCCTAAACTCAATATTAACTCTTATTTTAAATACAATGAGGTAAAATAAGTAACAAAAAGCATTAAATTTAATATGTATTCATTACAACTGAAATATATTTTTCGGTTATTAGTTTTCTAAAACATCCTGGAATAAAAGAAAACTGACAAGTGATAAGAGGTAACTTAGGAATTTTTCTTATCTTTCAAGGTACAGTAAATAACAGTTGTGAAATACGGTGACTTAGGTTTTAAGAAGATATTTATGTAATGTATTAATGCAAAACTGACTCATGGGTTTGTATTCTAAACTTTATATCTATTTCAAAATTATACAATTGAGACTGTAACATGTTTTGCATTTTTGTAGTTTCATTGTTAGAATTTATCTATCATATAAAAGGTGGGGTGGGTGGTGGTGAGTGGGGTGGTGGTGGTGGTGGTGTGGTGTGGGTGGTGGTGGTGGTGGAGGTGGTGTGGTGTGGTGGTGGGCTGGTGGTGGTGGGTGGTGGTGGTGGTGTGGTGGTGTGTTGGTGGTGGTGTGGTGGTGGTGGTGGTGGTGAGGTGGTGTGTGGGTGTGGTGGGGTGGTGGTGGTGGTGGTGGTGGTGGTGGTTGGGTGTGGTGGTGGTGGTGGTGTGGTGGTGGTGGTGGTGGTGGTGAGGCTGGTGGTGGTGGTGGTGGGTGGTGGTGGTGGTGGTGGTGGTGAGCTGGTGGTGGTGGTGGTGGTGGTGAGGCTGGTGGTGGTGGTGGTGGTGGTGGTGTGGTGGTGGTGTTGGTGTGGTGGTGGTGGTGGTGGTGGTGGCGTGGTGGGGGTGGTGGTGGGTGTGAGCTGGTGGTGGTGGTGGTGGTGGTGGTGGTGTGGTGGAGGTGGTGGTGGTGGTGGTGGAGGTGGTGGTGGTGGTGGTGGTGTTGGTGGTGGTGGTGGTGGTGGTGGTGGTGGTGGTGGTGGTGGTGGTGGGGGTGGTGGGGTGGTGGTGGTGGTCGTGGTGGTGGTGGTGGTGTGGTGTGGTGGGTGTGGTGGTGGTGGTGTGAGGCTGTGGTGGTGGTGGTGGTGGTGGTGGTGGTGGTGGTGGTGGTTGGTGGGAGGTGGTGGTGTGGTGGTGGTTGTGGTGGTGGTGGTGGGTGGTGGTGTGGTGGTGTTGGTGGTGGTGTGGTGGTGGTGGTGGTGGGGTGGTGGTGTGTGGAGGTGGTGGTGGTGAGGTGGTGGTTGGTGGTGGTGGAGGTGGTGGTGGTGGTGTGTGGTGGTTGGTGGTGGTGGTTGGTGGTGAGGCTGGTGGTGGTGGTGGTGGTGGTGGTGGTGTGTGTGGTGGTGGGTGGTGGTGGTGGTGGTGGTGTGGTGGGGGTGGTGTGTGGTGGGGTGGTGGTGGGTGTGGTGGTGGTGGTGTTGGTGGTGTGGTGTGGTGGTGGTGTGTGGTGGTGGTGGTGGTGTGGTGTGTGGTGTAGTGAGGTTGGGTGGGTGGTGGTGGTGGTGGTGTGGTGGTGGTGGTGGTGGTGGTGGGTGTGGTGGTGGTGGTGGTGGTGTGGTGGTGTGATGGTGGTGGTGGTGGTGGTGTTTGGTGTGTGGTGGTGGTGGTTTGGTGGTTTGGTGGTGTTGTGGTGGTGGTGGTTGGTGGTGGTGGTGAGGTGGTGGTGGTGGTTGGTGGTGTGAGTGGTGGTGGTGGTGGTGGTGGTGGTTAGGTGGTGGTGGTGGGTGTTTGTGTGGTGGTTGGTGGTGTGTGGTGTGGTGGTGGTGGTGGTGGGGTGTGGTGGTGTGGTGGAGGTGGTGAGGCTGGTGGTGGTGGTTGAGGCTGGTGGTGACGTGGTGGTGGTGGTAGTGGGTCTGGTGGTGATTGTGGTGGTGGTGGTGGTGAGGCTGGTGGTGATGTGTTGGTAGTGGTGGTGGTGGTGGTAGTGAGGCTGGTTGGTGGTAGTGTGGCTGGTGGTGGTGGTGATAGTGAGGTTGGTGGTAGTGGTAGTGATGCTGGTGGTGGTAGGGATGCTGGTGGTGGTGGTAGTGTGGCTGGTGGTGGTAGTGTGGCTGGTGGTGGTAGTGATGCTGGTGATGGTGATAATGAATCTGGTGATGACTGGCGATATTGACAGTGGTGTTGGGGTCCAGTCCCTGGACCCATTATGTACCTTTGTAATCTTTTGACTACCGCCCACAGGATGGGTATGGGGTGCATAATAAACATATTAAACTAACTAACTGATAGTAATGACGGTGCTGGTTATAACAGTAGTTGTGAGGGTACTGAGTGTGGTAACTGTCGTAGTGGTAGCCGTGGTGGTAGTGGCAGTGAGGGTGGTGCTACTTATGGTAGTAATGGTGCTACTGAGGGTGATACTGGTAGTGGTGGTGGTGGTAGTGGTGGTGAGGCTGGTTGTGGTGGTGGTGGTAGTGGTGGTGAGGCTGGTAGTGGTGGTGGTGGTAGTGGTGGTGAGGCTGGTTGTGGTGGTGGTGGTAGTGGTGGTGAGGCTGGTGGTGATGGTGGTGGTGGTAACGACGGCAGTAAAGTGCAGATGACTTGCATCAGAAGACTTGAGACACAACTTGCATCTCTAAGGTTTACTCACTCCAGGCATGGAAGACGTTGGCGATGGTGGTTGATGTGGGGGCGGCGCCCCCCACCATCTTGTGAGGCGCGCCCCTGCTTGCCTCAGGGCAGAGTAACATGCAGGGAAGGCAGAGTTCTGCCTCCCTCGTCGTCTGCAGTAATATTAAGAGACGGAAGCATCTTGCTCACACACCCATCACAAGTCCTGTCACTGATGCTTGTGTCTCGCAACACGTATTTTATCTTTCACGAATTTCTGTTATATAGATTAATATCTGGCTTGTGCTTGACTTCTAAAACTTATGGCAAAAAAACAATAAAACATTTAACACAGTGCAGGTAGATTTATTAATAATTATTAATATTGCAAAGGATACATATAAACGATAGAGAAAAAGCTGAAAGGGAGGTAACTCTGACCGTTCACTGTTACAGAGGTATGTCTGTATCACTGTTACAGAGGTATGTCTGTATCACTGTTACAGAGGTATGTCTGTATCACTGTTACAGAGGTATGTCTGTATCACTGTTACAGAGGTATGTCTGTATCACTGTTACAGAGGTATGATATGTCTGTATCATTGTTACAGAGGTATCATCTGTCTGTATCACTGTTACAGAGGTATCATCTCTCTGTATCATTGTTACAGAGGTATCATCTGTCTGTATCAGTGTTACAGACTCCGCTGTGGTCAGCTCCATGGTGTTGGATCTACTGGACACCACAGTACAGCACTTGATGTTAGTGGTGTGGTTTGTATCTTCATGTTGTGGACGTGTTTGAAACTACAAGCACACCAAGTGGTCACGGTGGAGTCTCTGTACACTGACAAAAACCTTCCCTTCATAACAATGAACAATCAGAACAGTTACAGTACTTTACTCTTACCTTCCCAGTTTTCATTTCTTGTATCTTTCAGATATTTCAGTATTTATCAAGATTCGGTAGTCTTAAGATTTGGTTGTTTACATCTGATTTTTTCTAATTATTATCATCATGGTGAAATGCTAAACCCGTAGGCTGGAATAATTCACAAATAACCCACACAGAAAGTTGTTACCTGACAACGGTCCAAGATGAACCGGAACATAAGTCAGAGTGTTCATAAAGTATACAACTGATAAAGAACAAGTAAAATGTTTAACAGACTAAATGGAAAGTGAAATGGACGTGAAGAAGGAAGGTAAATAGGTTTAATCTGAGGAAGTAGAGGGTAACTTCAATTCCTAGCTCGCATCAGGACCTCTCTCCGGAAGACATGGGTACAGTTACAGTGTTAAGCTCTGGATACACGCGTGTTGCAGCTCCTTCAAGACTCTCTACTGTTTAGTTCCAGCAAATTCACGCTCTCGAAATTTATGTTAAAACTCTTAGGATTTAATTTTGATTCAGTGCGATTATTGGCATATTAGGGTAATAGTTTGTTATGAACTTGAACACACGCGAGGCCTGGTCTCAGACCGGGCAGCGGGGGCGTTGACCCCTGAAACCCTCTCCAAGTATACTCCAGGTATATATACACCCACACACAACGGACTAGTCCCGGGGCTAATGGGTATGTCCTACGAGGAGAGGTTAAGGGAAACCGACCTGTCGACACTGGAGGACAGGAGGGACAGGTGGGACATGATAACATAAAAAATACTGAGAGGGATCTACAAGGTGGACAGAAACAGGATGTTCCAGAGATGGGACACAGCAACAAGGGGTCACAGTTGGAAGCTGAAGACTCAGATGAGTCACAGGGATGTTAGGAAGTATTTCTTCAGCCACAGAGTAGTCAGGAAGTGGAATAGTCTGGAAAGGAGGTGGTGGAGGCAGGAACCATATATAGCTTTAAGAAGAGGTATGATAAAGCTCGTGGAGCAGGGAGAGTGACCTAGTAGCGACCAGTGAAGAGGCGGGACCAGGAGCTATAACTCGGCCCCTGAAACCACAATTAGGTGAGTGCAATCGAGTAAACACACACAAAATAGGCGAAGTGTCTTAGTGACAAGTGTCTTGGACAAAATGGTAACACACATACATACATACATACATACATACATACATACATACATACATACATACACACACACACACACACACACACACACACACACACACACACACACACACAGAGGCGGGGCCAGGAGCTTCGAATCGACCCCTGCAACCTCAACTAGGTGAGTACACACACACACATACATTAGGTTCCTTAATGCATGAGGACAGAGGGACCCACAAACAAAACTAACTATTAACAGATGTGCTTCAGTTACTGTGAGATCAGAGTATCCCTATATTCAATAAGCTCAGCTTCCTCTATCTCAGTGCACGCAGAAGCTTAATATTTTTTCCAAAAAGGCCAAACGGTCATTGCGCTGTAAAAGATGGCATTAACAAATTTACCAACATTATTTAAAAAATAACTGAGACACATGTACAACATCTGGGAATCTTTATTGTAGACGTTTCGCCATCCAGTGGCATTATCAATACAAATTCCAGAACATAATTCCACTGGGAAATGCCGCCTACCAGTGACTCTGCCCCCGTCTGCTTCCCGTTCTAATTCACCTGACGTTACTCTATAAGCACCAGGCTCCTTGCTTCTGCTCCAGAACCTCCACCACTACGGTGCTCTCAACACCATCTCCAAGGCTGAGGGACTGATTACCTCACCTTTTGTATATAGTTCTACTGTCTTCAAATTATGTCATAGAATTTGTACTGATAAAGCCACTGGATGGCGAAACGTCTACAATAAAGATACCCAGATGTTGCTACAGTGTTTGATGTTGATGTATCAGCAACCTGGCTTCTACAGCTACAGTGTTTGATGTTGATGTATCAGCAACCTGGCTTCTACAGCTACAGTGTTTGATGTTGATGTATCAGCAACCTGGCTTCTACAGCTAAAAATGTTTGATGTTGATGTATCAGCAACCTGGCTTCTACAGCTACAGTGTTTGATGTTGATGTATCAGCAACCTGGCTTCTACAGCTACAGTGTTTGATGTTGATGTATCAGCAACCTGGCTTCTACAGCTACAGTGTTTGATGTTGATGTATCAGCAACCTGGCTTCTACAGCTACAATGTTTGATGTTGATGTATCAGCAACCTGGCTTCTACAGCTACAGTGTTTGATGTTGATGTATCAGCAACCTGGCTTCTACAGCTACAGTGTTTGATGTTGATGTATCAGCAACCTGGCTTCTACAGCTACAGCTTTTAATGTTGATATATCAGCAACCTGACTTCTACAGGATGACATACAAACAACGGAGGAGGAGGTGCAGAAGCTGCTAAGTGACCTTGATACCTCAAAGGTGAGGGGTCCGGACATCTCCCCGTGGGTCCTCAGAGAAGGAGCAGAGACGCTGTGCGTGCCACTAACCACAATCTTCAATACATCCCTTGAAACTGAGCAACTTCCTGAGGTATGGAAGACGGCAAATGTAGTCCCCATTTTTAAGAAAGGAGAGAGAAATGAGGCACTAAGCTACAGACCTGTGTCTCTGACGTGTATAGTATGCAAAGTCATGGAGAAGATTATCAGGAGGAGAGTGGTGGAGCACCTGGAACGAAACAAGATTATAAACAGCAACCAGTACGGATTCATGGAAGGCAAATCCTGTGTCACAAACCTTCTGGAGTTTTATGACACGGTAACAGAAGTAAGAAACGAGAGAGAGGGGTGGGCTGACTGCATCTTCCTGGATTGCAGGAAGGCCTTCGACACAGTTCCTCACAGGAGATTAGTGCAGAAGCTGGAGGATCAGGCATGTATAACAGGAAGGGCACTGCAATGGATCAGAGAATACCTGACAGACACGCAACAACGGGTCATGGTACGTGATGAGGTATCACAGTGGGCTCCTGTGGCAAGCAGGGTCCCACAGGAGTCAGTCCTATGACCAGTGCTATCTTTGATATATGTGAATGACATGGTGGAAGGGATAGACTCTGAAGTGTCCCTGTTCGCAGATGATGTGAAGCTAATGAAAAGGATTAAATCGGATGAGGATCAGGCAGGACTACAAAGAGACCTGGACAGGCTGGACACCTGGTCCAGCAACTGGCTTCTCGAATTCAACCCTGCCAAATGCAAAGTGATGAAGATTGGAGAAGGGCAAAGAAGACCGCAGACAGAGTATAGGCTAGGTGGACAAAGGCTGCAAACCTCACTCAAGGAGAAAGATCTTCGGGTGACCATAACACCGAGCACGTCTCTGGAGACACACATTAACCAGATAACTGCTGCAGCATATGGGAGCCTGGCAAACCTGAGAATAGCGTTCCGATACCTTAGTAAGGAATCGTTCAAGACACTGTACACTGTGTATGTCAGGCCCATACTGGAGTATGCAGCTCCAGTTTGGAACCCACACCTGGTCAAGCACGTCAAGAAATTAGAAAAGTACAAAGGTTTGCAACAAGGCTAGTTCCGGAGCTCAGGGGTGTGTCCTACGAAGAAATGTTGAGGGAAATCTGACTGACGACACTGGAGGACAGGAGGGTCAGGCGAGACATGATAACATACAAAATAATGCGTGGAATAGACAATGTGGACAGAGACAGGATGTTCCAGAGAGGGAACACAGAAACAAGGGGTCACAATTGGAAGCTGAAGATTCAGACGAGTCACAGGGATGTTAGGAAGTACTTCTTCAGTCACAGAGTCGTCAGGAAGTGGAATAGTCTAGCAAGTGATGTAGTGGAGGCAGGAAGCATACATAGCTTTAAGACGAGGTATGACAAAGCTCAGGAAGCAGAGAGAGAGAGAACCTAGTAGAGATCAGTGAAGAGGCGGGGCCAGGAGCTGTGTCTCGACTCCTGAAACCACAAATAGGCGAGTACAATTAGGTGAGCTACAGTGTTTGATGTTGATGTATCAGCAACCTGGCTTCTACATCTACAGTGTTTGATGTTGATGTATCAGCAACCTGGCTTCTACATCTACAGTGTTTGATGTTGATGTATCAGCAACCTGGCTTCTACATCTACAGTGTTTGATGTTAATGTATCAGCAACCTGGCTTCTACATCTACAGTGTTTGATGTTGATGTATCAGCAACCTGGCTTCTACATCTACAGTGTTTGATGTTGATGTATCAGCAACCTGGCTTCTACAGCTACAGTGTTTGATGTTAATGTATCAGCAACCTGGCTTCTACAGCTACAATGTTTGATGTTAATGTATCAGCAACCTGGCTTCTACATCTACAGTGTTTGATGTTGATGTAAACAGCAACCTGGCTTCTACAGCTACAGTGTTTGATGT